CTGTTTAGATTGTCAAAAAGCCTGTGTTTTTAGAGTTATTAGCAAAGTTCGTGTACTCAGACCAGTAATAATTGGGGTCACAAGTTTTTGCCATGGATATTTTGTGGGTCAGAGGACAAAAAGTTTGGGAACCACTGCTTTAGGGGACCTGTGCCCACCACTGTATACATTTACTACTTATGTGTCTTTCCTTTTAAACACATGAAGGAGCCTTTGTATCTTATTATGCCTAAAACTCTAATTTTCATCAAAATTACGGCTCATATTTTAAAATAAAATATGCTATTACTACAACTACCCGTTTGTTTGGGGCTGGACTGGAAGTGACATATATGGAGGGGAATGTAAGGCCCACATGTTTTGAGCCAGTGAGAGAAGGTGAAACCAGGAGAAATGGAGAGAATTTAAATGGTGAAAAAAAGAGATGTTGAAACGATGGAACAGGAAAATGCACACAGACTTGGTGAGTGGTAAGAACATTTTTTAAATAAAGTTATTTTGACCTTGCACCATGGGAGAACAGATTTTTGAAATAAGAAATATTTGAGTCAAATTAAGTATTTCAAAAAACTTACCAAGTAAAACTGTCTTTCTCGCTTATTAGAGCTAAAATGTTTCTATTTCTACAAGCAAAAATCATGCAAAAGAATAAAAAAAAAATCTACATGCCAGCATAGAGGTGCCAGCCTTGCAGATTGATTGATTGATTGATTGATTGATTGATTGATTGATTTTCTATTTAGGCACTATGTACCTTGAGATTTCCCTGAGTTATTTTTTTATTATATTATTTGACATCTGAGTCTACAAAACTGAAAAGTGAGTCCTTACAACTGGTTTAGAAATCCTGCAGTCATTTAAATTTCTGAAAGGTTTTCAGACTCCAGCAGCTTCTGACTTCTTAGCAGAAACTTGTTAAACCTTGTTACAACAGATCTGTTTGAAATGCTGCAAACCTTTGGGAGATGCACTTCTCCAAGAAAACTTCCCATATTTCCATCAAAATGGCTCAGAATCATCCAAGGTATATATTTCACTTTCTGTTCCACGGCTGTTTGAACAGAAGTATGTGTGTGTTCATAAGTTCTGATCTGTCTGTCATAGACTGATTTCTAACCAGCGGCTTGAAATCATTTTCATGACATTTACTGTAATGAGCTGCATTGCAGTCACTTTTGAGAAGCCAGCCATTGATCCAGGGAGCATGGTCACACACACACACACACACACACACACACACACACACACACACACACACACACACACACACACACACTATTTGTTACAGAAACTTTAAAAAGTTGAAAACAAATCTCTTGTCATGTATAGGAGCGATTCGGCCTGGACATTGCCTCTTACGTTTTCACGTGTGTATTCACAATGGAGATGCTCATTAAGGTGAAATAACTTGATACCTTTTACTTTGAAAGCAAAATGTTTGTTACTTGTAGGAACAACTTGTTTCTTCAACCCCAGATCATTGCATTTTTTTCTTTGAATGAATGAATGAACAAATGAATGATTTTATTTGGTCACATAAAGAACACTCCACACAAAAACAAACAAAACTTTAACCCTATATGACCAAATAGGTAGAGGCAGAAGCCAATGGCTTGTTTTGCCTCACCTTACAATTCATAATAGATTCCCCAAAACAAAACAAAACACACACACACACACACACACACACACACACACACACAC